TGTTAGCCAGGATGGTCTCAATCTCCTGACCTCATGATCCGCCCATCTCAGCCTCCCAAAGTGCTGGGATTACAGGCTTGAGCCACCGCGCCCAGCCTGTATTTCACAGGTTTTAAGAATACTTTCTCATTTTCCTTTCAATATAAAAAAATTCCTCAGAGTACATTTTAGGGGCATCATATTTCCCTTTTAGTATAATCTTTTCTACCCCACAACACAGTAGTTATTTTAAAAGACTATAGAAAACACATAAATTCTAACATTATAAAATGTAATCTAATGATGGTAATGAGCCTCATGTCATTCTGAGCACGCTGCTATGAACCCTATAAGCAACACTAAGATTTTTCCTTTTCTATTGCATTCAACTGCAATGCTTTAAATTTATGAAAAACACCATTCACAATCAAGGATCTTTTTGGGGCTTGGGGATCAAATTATCTAACTACATAGCTTAAAGACTGAAGTTATTAGTAGTACAGGAAATCCTCAGGATTAATCTGATTCCAGTTTGTTTGAATAACTCACTCCTTCTTCAATGAGAAATTGTTTTTTTCCCGAATGGTTACACTCATTGTTGGGCCACACTTTTTATTATATACTTTAACCAGGACTGGTTAAGTGATTTTGTGCCCTGTCATGTCACCTTCCTCCCTTACTACATCAACAGCTGGTTCCAGCAACCTCAGTGTATTAAAAGGTACGTTTCTAAGGGGGATAGGAAAAGATTTGCTAAAGGATACAAAATTACAGCAAGATAAGAGGAATACGTTCTAGTGTACTACACCACTGTAGATGACTAGAGTTAACAATAATAAACAGTTTCAAATAGCTAGAAGGAGGATACTGACTGTTGATATCACAAATAAATGATAAATGTTTGAGATGAGGATATGCTAATTACCCTGATCTTATTACTATACACTATATGTATCAAAACATCATTATGTACCCCATAAATATGTATAATTCCTATGTGTCAACTAAAAAATTAAAACTTTATGAAGAAAAAAGTGTATTTATCTCTGTTTCTCATTCACTGATTTGTTTCATTTAGATAAGATTTATCAAGCATTGCTCTACGTGTTAGGATTATAGCATGGACGAGACAGAGAAGATCTACGGTCTCATGGGACTTAAACTCTAGCAAGGGAAAAAGAAAATGATAAACAAGAGACAAACATATAAAGATGGTTTAGGATTGCTAAATACTATGAGGAAAATAAAACAGGGTGCTGCACTGAAGCAGGAGCTACTTTACACTGGAAGATCAAAGAGGACCTCTGGAGGAGGTGAAATCCGAAAACTGAATCACACAAAGTAGCCCACCATGCCAAGTTCTGGGATAGAGCATTCCAGGCAGAGAAAACAGCTGGTGCAAAGGTGTGAAGACAGGAACAAGCTTGGTACATCTGGGGAAGAAATCTTGATATATCTGGGCAATGCGGCTGGAGCACAGCAAATGAGGGAGAGAAAAGCAAAAGATTAGGACACAGTAAATGAGGGAGAGAGTGGCAAAATCAAGGGACAGATCACACGGGGCCTGCAAGTGGTTACAATTCATTCAGCTTTTATGCCAAGCACAAAGGAGGGTTTTGAGCAGAAGGGTAAAAACATCTATGTTTTTAAAAGATCACTTTGTCTACTGTATAGAAAAAAAAAAAAAAAAAAGACCATGAGAGATAAAACGAACACAGCCAGACCAGATAGGAGACCATTTTAGTCAAGAAAGATGATGGAGCAAAACCAGCATGCATTTGTAGATGGTATTACCTACTTCTCTGCTATCTACAGAGAGCCTTGCCTGTCCATTTTCTAGCTCTGGTGCAGTGATAATGCTGCCACTTTAGTATAAACATTCACTTCACAGTCTTCAGTGAGGAGACAGTCTTCTGTGATGTGCGGGCTGAGCAGAGTATAGCCCACTTGGCAGAAAAGGCCCACACTCAGGCACATGAGAGCAAGAATGGTGCTGGAAAGGCACAGGGTCACAGGGGGCAGAGAGTATGCCCTTCAGCCTCTCACCTTCAGTCATGGAAAGGAGTGTTTCAGGGTGTGGTTATCCACCTGGAATGGGATGAGGAGCTCTGCTGCCCAAAGTCTCTATTTCAGGAAAGACATCGCTACGTAGCTGGCTATAAGGGACCGGGACTGCAAACCTCTAAGAGTTGTAGGAAGGCCAGGGCAGCTGGGAGCAATGTGGATGAGTCTTGTGTTTACCCCCCACCCCAGGGATGCTACTGGTCTCACTAGGTTTCTCAATCTCCATTGGGACTGAAAACCCAATGCAGGTAGGATAATAATAATAATAACCACTTTAGATCTGAAAAAAAGAAAGAAAGATGATGGATCCTTGGACTAGAGTAACAGCAGTGGAGACGAGACAAAATGGATTTTTTGAACAAGGCTGACTAGGAAAGGAGCATGTTTAAGGAAAAGAAAATGAAGAGTTTAAAGTGTGAGATGATAGCCAAATCTTCTATGGAAACAGTCAGGTTAATGGGTAGGCTAGCCAATCTATAAGGGCCACTAAAATGTCACAGAAAAGACAGAAGAAAAATTCACAAAACCTCACCTTAGTGTTTTATGATATTGGAAAGATCACTTACTTGAAGTCGGAATGGGGGAGAG